ATGAATTTAGGTAAAGGGTTGCAGAGCCAGTGGTGGTTTTGTAGGCAAACATTAATGCCTTGAATATATTCGAGCAGCTACTGGTAGCCAGTGCAAATTGATGAACGTGTGTTCTTTTCGACTCAGTTTGGGTTTTTTAGAGAATTAGGCATATCTGAATTTAAAATAGCGCCCTACCCACACACTTTGGAGTAAATTGATAAAAATGGTCTCATTTTACAGAAAACCCTCTATATTTTAACACAGTGGTAGAATATTGCATATAATATATTGTATTTATTCTCAATTTTATGATAAACACATATAAAAAGTGATATTTTGATATTTATTTTTATTATTATTTTTAAAAATCTGTAATTTATGATCTATGTCCCTGCAGAAGGTTTCTTTTGATTCCACTAGGTGGCAGTAAACAGGAAAAAAGAATCTAATGGATATCTCCTTCTAAACAAAATATATTTAGATTTTACTGAAAGGAGGTATTGGTGTCTTTACCGTCTCCGTTTTTTATTTCTGAAATAATTTAACATACTTGAATTTAAACGAGCACCTTATCCATATACATTGGAGTAAAAGGATAAAAATGGTCTCAATTTACAGAAAACCCTCAATTTTAACACTGGTGGAATATTGCATATATTTTATTGTATATAAATACAGATAAAAAGTCAGGTTTTTATTAATTTTTCAATATAGTTTTTTTTTGAGAGCCTGTAATTTAGGACCTGTTTGGTTTATTTCCCTGCAGGGGGGATTCTTTTGAATCCTGTATATTCCAGTAAATAGAGAAAAAAAGATTTATCTTCTTATAACCTTCTTCACAAAAGTTATTGAGCTTTAACTGAAGGGAGGCAATGTCTTTTCTGAAGTCTCCCATTTTCATCCATAAACACAAATTATTCAAAAACAGGCTTATTACCTGTAAAACACTTTTTACTATGCTTTACACTTGACAAGAGAATGATCCAACACTTTATCACCTAACTTGACCCATGTTGTGTATTATATACCTAAGCAAAATGAGAGTGAGTAAGTAGTAGTTCTTGCATTTTATTATGCACAAGATAATAAACTCCAAGAAAATAAATAAAATGTATAGAGAAAAATGTGCAAAAAGCAGTGCAAAAACAATATAAAAATCTAATATGTAAAATAACTATATACAGAATATAACAACTATAAAAAATGTAAATAAGTTGCTATAGAAAAAAAATGGAGGCCAACTTTTAGTTTTTGTTCGTTGCTTTGTCAACAGTTTTCATCGGTTGCAAACTTTCTCAAGAGTGTCCATCAGTGTGCCATTTTCTAAAACAGTTTCTAGATGGCACCAAGCACAGGGGTTGGCTGTGGCCTCACAGTATCACCAGCAGAAGGTGTGGGGGTCTTGGAGGTGGGGGGTAGGCAAACAACCTCCTTGCTGGTGCTTGGCAGCAATTCTTCAACACTGGAATCTAGACAGCAAAACAAAATAAAATTATAAATCCACATTATAATCCTGAAATGCATGATAAAATTACATAAATACATAAAAATCACCAAAATAACTTGCATATGCATGCCATGGATACAAGAATATAATCTGCAAATCCACATAACAGATACACTAATACATGTGCATACAAAAATAAATGAGAACTGATTCAAATATGATAGTAACAGAAACATGTAGAATGCATTTCATGTATACACGAAACAGATGTCAATCAAATCAAATAAAATACACGTATCAATGCAACTGATGAACAAATGCGTGCAAAAATACAAATATGCATGCAACAGACATGCAACATTATATTAGCACATGTGCGCGCCAAAAAAGAAATGAGCACATGCTTAGCAAAAGCACCCATGATTATTTGAATTATCGCGTGCAAATGTGCATTGTGTTGTGACCATATATTTTTGCACGCACATGTATTTCTGTATGTCTGTTACATGCATATTTGTATAATAGCATGCCTTTGCTCATGAAATGCACAAATACAACGTTTATAAGTTCGAAATGTGCACTTAATCAAACTCAGGAAGGATCTTCTCCAGCGTCGTAAGCAGCTTGTCTGACCGAGTCGAAGCTATCATTGCTGCAAGTTTCAGTGTCACTCAGTCGATCAAGCTCCTCCAAAACAGCCTCCACACCAACAAAAACCGTTCTTGAAGCCATT